GTAAACAACAGTTAAAAAATTTGGTAGGAATACGTGATGAAGGGATATCAAATGTTTCTTGTCAAGCATTAGGCTACTCGGCAAATGATGATCCACCCCGTTCTTTCTCAAATATGAAGGACAACGGTGGAGACTTTGATAAATGGGCCAGAAGTAAAGAGTATAGGGAATATATCCATATTCCAAGTTTTAGAGTTAGCTGTGATGCTAAAGGTTATATTAGTTCTGACCCTAAGGATCCTGATTATAGTGATCAACATAACCCAACACAAAATCCTGAGAAAGTTGTAAATACCGAACGTAATCCCTATGGATATACGAAAGAATATGTGCCGTACATTTATCTAGATTATTCATCGGCTGATATATATACTAATGACTCAACATTCAATGGAATTCGATGGTCTAAAATCAAAGATAATACTTGTTTAAGCATCTTCGATGCTAGAGCTAGTCGGTTATCCACAACAGCACGATATACGCAATATTTTTTGTTGAAATATAATGCACTATTTATTTATGCTAAAGTATATATGACAGTTTGTTGTAATCATCAGGTTTCTGTAACAGTCCATCGTACTGTTTTCCCTCAAACTTCCCTTTACATTAATAGCAAAAAGGTTAGTGAACAAGCACAGACTGAACTTGGCAAGTTTATTCTTTCCGGAGATAAACCGGCTAAGGACTTCAAAATTGCTGAAGATGGAAATTGGATAATTAAGAATATAAAAACGTTACTTAAAAATTTTCAAAAAGATTTGGGTTTATTGTTATCAGCAGATGGACATGGTAACTTGGCTCCTTATGGACAGGACTTGACCTGGAATGGAAAAATCTAAACTAGTAACAGCATAATATAAATAGATCTATTTTATTATTACATTTCATGCACTTGATATATGTTGATGATAGCTTTATATTACAACATATAATTTGTATTTTTATCTTTATTTTTGCAAGCATTGTAGGTCAATAAATAATAAATTCTCACATACAGTCCATAGCATAAAAGTTTTTTTCGTATTAATCTGCCTGACATTTGTTTTAGAATTGGGTTGCGTAATACTATATGAAAAAGTATCAACTAATATTATGCTATATATCATTTACTATATATTATTAAATGCACATACTGTACATACATTGATATGTTTAGCTCAAAACTTAGACTATTTCTCATTTTTATTTAGCACATGATTGCTATTTTAAGAACACGTATTCTTTTTGTGAATCGATCCCAAAAAATTGCGATATTAGGTGTTTGATCAATACCGATTAATAAGTATTCTGTATATGTACCAAATGCACCTCTCAACAAGAATCCCAAATATAGAAAACGTGCGATTGTTGATTGATTTGCCGTGTTTAATAATTGTGGTGCCGAATTTAGTAAACAATTTAATTATTTGTTTACGTAGTAATTATCGTGCCAAAATATCGGTATGACACCAAATAACAATTGGTAGTTGACTCGTGTTGAATTATCGCAATGCCGAGTCATTTATATAGCATACTGCTTCGTGGCAAATTGCCTTGCAAATGCAAGAAAATAAATTGCAATCTCTAATGAATAATAAATAGGGCCACCTTTAATATGAAGGTCCGTTCCAATTTTGCTTTTTTCTTAAAAAAATTTTTTATAAAAATTACTTACCTGCTGTATAAGCACTATGTCGTTCCAAAATAAATCTGTCGCATTATTATCGAAGACCTCTAAAAGAAATCTACATAAAAAAGACTTTCGTGCCATAAAAAAAGCCAAATTTGAAAACCTTGATATTTCTGTCATTGGAAGTAATACTAATTCCACATCCAATATTAACCTGGCCGATGAAAGAGAAGATATTTTCTACAATCCTCTAAAAGTAAGTTAATTAATTTTGATACAAGTAAACCCCTATTATTTATAGTATAGTCTTCTTAGGGGTACTTTTCGCCTTTCGAGGCAGGCCTAGGATCTGAGTATTCCCTC